ATTTAAAGAACAAGAATCATGTCATGATGGCATTAATCATAATCCTACATACCAAAACATAAAAAAAGAATAATAATTATTAGGAAAACTATAAGAGCATTCTGTACACATACTAATGAAAACTAAAGCCTAATAGACGCTCTTTCAAAGCAATTATATTTCTCCCCAGCCCAACTCTTCATTTTACAAATTGACAAGCAAAACAGTATACACATACAACTCTTCATCTTCAACATACCCTAACTGCGATTTTTTATCGTGGTTCAAGGACAGGTGATGAAGATAATTGGATAACTGAACATTTCATTATGTGCTTTAAATTGTGTCCACTCGATCGATGACGTCTAATGCTTTGATGCGATCGATGTCGAAGTTAATGATGGGAACGGAAGATGGCCTTCTAATGGGGAAAGGGTCTCTCTTTGTTTCACTTGTTAAGGAATGACTACTACTTTTACTCAGCCTGTGGTGCTTGCACAACCTCGTTTTTACTTATTTCGGGAGTCAACTTCCTTTTGCTTACATCTCGGAGCATCTCGTGGTCTTCGACTGTCAAGTGGACAACATCTACAGTCATTCCATGTGATTTATTTGGGGGGACATAATCAACAAATAAAAATAAAATGGCAGGAGAAAAAACAAAACACGTAAAGAAAAGAGATACATGCTCCAAGCGACCACATTCAAATTGTATAAAGAAATCACACAGCTAGATACTTAACCAATTTGCTTATAGAATGTTCAAGAAATCATGCAGGTGAACCAAATTTGGAATGTGATCCCAAATTGATATCCAAACAACGTATCAAGAACAATAAACTTTAATCACAATCAGACATATTACTGACTAGAAACAAATAAGATGCACTTTATGTCATCCCTTACCAATGAACTGAAAAAGATATTTCTTCTTCAAAACTAGAAGATACGTGGCAAGAACTGCCGTTAGAGATGCTACATCTGTACAATAAATAAAGGTGAAGAACCAGTGCAATGTATATAATGACAAGATCACTGCACAAAGAGTTGCTTTCTTGGCATCAAGAGATGGCCTTAAATGAGTGATAATCTCATAAACCAGAATGCTGCGTATTACAGCCAGGAAACCATTGGTGGTTCGCAGAATCAAAGTGGAGCAAATGTTGGAAAATGATAAAAGGTCTTGCAGGAAATGCACCCCTGGAAACAAAAAAGCAACATAGGCAAGTGAAAGAAATTACCTACAATGAATTGCATACATCAACTTCTTATTAGGTAGAAATCTATCTCAATCTGTCCAAGTACGTCCACCTCTTTTACCATCTATTAACAGCTTATCTTCTTCCACCTCCAGTAAAGTGAATTCGAAAAAAAATGATATATGGTGGAAATAAAAATTTGCGGTGACTTTTTAAAAAAAATTTCTCATCTTTCCATTCTTTAATATACTATTTCATCTCCTACACCTCCAACAGCCCATAACCTAGAACATGAACTTTTGTCAATTGAAAATTCCACTAGGATTGTATCT